CTACAATAGTACAGTTTCTAAATTAAAACTATTTACATTAGTCAGTTCTTTTGGTCTTAACAAACTTAGTTAAATATAGTTACTACCCAAGTTTGTGGAGGTATAATATCGCTTTAAACACGGAGCTATGTCTCTATTGTAATGATACCGGTATTGTTTGCGTATTCTTTCGATCCTTTGGTCCAGCATAAGATAGCGACCAGAAATCATATCGTAGCCAAAATAAAGTGTCTCCTAAAACTAATAATGTTTAATGGTAGCTCAACGTTATTATCTGAAGCAACATTGATTGAAACCCAGATTTGTGTATGTTAAAAATAGTATTTATATGTTACTATAACTTTTACAGTTAAAGATATTTAACAAGGGATTGCGACGTTGTATTCCGCGTTGGCTGGTTACTACATTTAGCTATGTAAAACAGGTTAGTTAAACCTTCAAACCTAACAGAATTGAGCGATAAATAATTAATTGTAATTAAGAAACTGTAAATATTGTACAATACTAATAACGTTGATGTAAATAGTGGCCGCTAAGAATGTACATGGTAAGAACAGCATATAGGAATACAACTGAAAAGACCAAAAGGCCGCTTCATACATTTCCAGACTTGAATTTGGCTTAAGTAAAATTTGTCTAGTAATGTATGAGCGACTGTTACATCTACACTCTATCTATTCTATCTATATATTAATTACGTAAGCCGATTCTTTGCGTCAAAATTGTGGTGAGAGACTGGGAAATCGTAGAACGACGGGAGAGGGCTCAAATTAAAGGTCTTGACCCCGTGACGGCGGGAAAAATAGTGAAATGTTAACACAAAATTAGATATAACGTAAAATATTCTCCATAAGAATAGCATTGGAAGTCATTTGCTGCTGATTTTTGTTTACTTCAATACAGCTGATTGTGATTTATCATCCAGCCAGTAAGCAATATGTTACTTCATTTTTGTTGTTTTTTCCTCCCACAATATCTAAATTATTACTAGAGGTTAAAATACCTTATAATACGTCAGTGTGACTTTTTGATCACACTGACGGATTATAAGGTATTTTAACCTCTAGTAATAATTAAATATATTACCTTTGGCCTACTTATTTGCCAGCCAATTCTGCAATGTAGCCTACTGTACACAATATAAAACCACGAATAACCTTACTTATAATAATTCAGACTTTTTAGTTAGTCTTACAATGTTGAAATCATTATTTAACTGTGCAATTTACAAACTTGTGTATTTTTTGTAAATTAGTTAAACACGTGATAAGTAGTAGAATCATCGGAGATGGCTCAAATCAAAGGAATTTAACTTAGAATAGCTGAAAAAATAATGAAGTTTTTTCTTATAACTTGAAGGTTATTTTTGTGTTGAAGGAATGTTTAACATGAAATAACCACATTGACTAAAAAATAAATGATTCAGGATTTAATGGAAAACTTTTGCTTTGTTTTAATTTCAAAACATATGTTCAAGATTTATTCAATTTTTTATATTTTATTTTACCAATTTTAATTTTAGATTAATTTATTGTGGTGTTTAATCAATTATTGTATAAAGGGATAAACCTCAACGGCCACTCTTGGAAATCAACCTGGGAATAAAGATGAAATAGGTTCGTTCAGGACAGGCAATATTTGTTCATTAATCATCAAGTAAGTACTATGACAAGTTCCAATGGGCGGAAACACATAATTTTTTAGAGGAGATTTTAACCAGGTACTGCAAAAAAGGTTCAAATAATATAGCCCAGCATGTACGGTGGTAAAGGAAGCATCCATATATAACAGTAAAACCTAGAGGTAGTTTCCGTTTCTTAAAACCAACCAAAAATATGCATGTCGAAGATTCTGATGAAAAGTAATTAATTGTTTTTTAACTGGGTAATGGAAACCTAACCAGTCGCAAAATAGTTAGGAATCAGCCGTTGAATAGACCCCTTTTTGATAGAATATTTAAAATCAATCGCACCTTTAGGAGGAATACCACCACATAATCTTACACTAGGCTAATAGTAGTTTTTATGTTGATCAGAAACAAATCTAGCGATACGTTTGGTCAATGGGATGCTTTTACTTTACACTAATTTTGTTAAACCTTTCCAAAAGGAGCATAAACGTAGAAATAATAACTTCGTAGGGATGCTAATTTAGCGGTTTTGACCAAGAACTAAGCTTATCTCAACACACCTTTATTTGCCTTTTCATTTTTGACGAAGACGATTTCCAATCATTCAATCAGGGAAGCCTTTTTATCATCATTATCATCAAACACAAGACCAAAGCTACCTTAGTAAACCAATATTTATTCACAAACATGTTTGCTGCCTTTAGTAGTAGAGTTAAACCTCTGGAGTAATATAAATTATTTATTAAAAATAACGTCAACAAAAGCAAAGAAAGACTAATAACAAACTGTTTTTGTACAAAATATATATTGTACTGGGATTTCTAACCTGACATAGATAATTTGATTCTGAGTTTGTTTAAATATTATAATAATTTGTTTTGTATTTTAGCTTTTTAGGGACTTTTTAGGGACTGGTTCGGTTATGCGCAATATTATATGCCTATTTAGTTTTCAAACCAGCTTTGTTGAATTGTGAATGTGTATACTATATACTAATGTGTATTTGGAATACGCTATATTTATTTTTTTAATCTAATTTATTTTTATAAGATATACCTTTACATTACTTTTCCTTATTATGTGACTTATTTTTATATGTGTTGTCAATGTTTAGACCTAGAATTCATAGTGATGTTTGATCTCGGCTTGACTTAGGAGTATGCACAATGTTTTAATATTTCAACACCAGTTACTAACTATAACCAGGCCCTTAGTAATATTATTTAAATGAAACACTTTGTTTGTTAAGGATATGTAATTTGGCTGACAACTAACTGCACTCACGGTCAAAGGAATTTACAAGGGTTGGAAGGGTAGCCCGCCTAAAGCCATTTGGAACTGCACTCACGGTCAAAAATCGGTCTTTCACGGCTGAACGCTTCGCTAGCCCCTTAGTCATCTGTTTATTCCGTCCTCTGTCTTACTTTATCCAATACTTATATTTAATACACGTTTTAGTGTCTGTCCCAATAAATACAACAATAACTAACCTAACCTAACCTAACCTAACCTTTACAAAAGAAGCTTCGTTATAATAAGAATATAGCCTATCATGTTATCGTAAATACTATGCTAGAATTTTCTGTGCACATATATATGTGTATTTTTTACAATGTCAGTAGTAAGTTTATTTTTTGACGTTTAGATTAATTTAATCAAAACTTTTCAATATATTTCAACTAATTTAATAAGTTTTAATCAATTCAATCATGGTGTTGCACAATGTGATATAGGCTAATTAAAAACTGACCGTGAGTGCAGTTCCAGTACCTCCAGAAAGGCTCAAAGTGACCGTGAGTGCAGTTCCGTAGTTGGATTAGGACCAGGGACTGACCGTGAGTGCAGTTCCAGCCCTCCCGTCTGCTGTGTCTTTTAAATCGAAATTTGGTGGGGTTTGGTGGTCAGATGATAAAAGTGTTGTGTATAAACCTAAGAAGTAGAGTTTAAGTGGAAAAAACAATGATAGCAGATCTTGACAAGAAATAAGGAAAACCAAAGTGTAATATGGAAAAGGACTGACCAAGGGACACAAGTACGTTGTTGTCAAGAACAGGGGTTTCTCAATGAGCTGCAGACAAGCCAAATTTTCCTGGCTTTTGTAGCAAGTTGTTTATAATAAATTGTTGTAAGATTGTATGATTTTTAAAGAAATAAAATTAATCTCTTAAACCGGTGACAAGTTGAAGGGGAGATACAACTAGCCGCAGGTACAACTATACGTAGGTACAAGTAGGCGTAGGTACAACTAGTCGTAGGTACAAGTAGTCGTAGGTACAAGTAGTCGTAGGTACAAGTAGTCGTAGGTACAAGTAGTCGTAGGTACAAGTAGACGCAGACGTATGAGGTACAAGTAGACGGTGACGTTCCCGACTAGTTGTACCTGTAGATTTTTAAGAGGTACAACTAGACGTAGAGACAACTAGACGTAGAGACAACTAGACGTCCGCACCATCGTCAAGTTGTCTCTACAGCTTTGGACGGGGTACAACTAGACGCCTGTCACCAAAATGCAGCAGGTACAACTAGACGCCGGTACAAGTAGACATCGCCCCGGTCGTAGCCTACCTGCTGAATTTTTATTTCAGGATTAGTGTTGCCTACAGTATTATTTTGAGGCTTCTGATTGGCTGAGGGAACATCATTACCGCAACGATACGGTTGATGCCAACAGCCTCGGTGGTGTAGTGGATAGAGTGCTGGGCTGATGATCCGAAGGACCCGGGTTCACATCCCACCCGTAGCACTATTTTTGTAGTGGATTTTTTTCATTATCAACAAGTTTGGTTGGTTTGGTTAGGTTATGACGGTTTGATTTTATAATTAAAACATTATGAAATTGAATTTGACCCATTTATAGTTTTATTTTATGAACAGCAATATTCTTTCCGGTTAAACCATCATTTGATTTTTCATTGTTAGCAAGTTTGGTTAGGTTATGATAGTTTAATTTTATAATAAAAAAAATTATAAAATAGGATTTGAGGCATTTATAATTTTATTTTATGAACAGAACTATTTTTTCGATTAATAAACCTTCATTAGATTTTTTCATTGTCAGCACGTTTGGTTGGTTTGGTTAGGTTATGACGGTTTAATTTCATAATAAAAAATATAAAATTGAATTTAAGGCATTTATAATTTTATTCTATGAACAAAAATAATAATTTTTCAATTACTAAACCTTCGTTATAGTCAATCAGAAGCCTCTAAATGACGCTGTTGGCAAAATTAATCCTGAAAAACAAATTGTGCAGCCTGCCTGCACTCTGCCTGCAGCCATGTGATTTGATTTGATGTCGATGTCTTCTTCTTCTTGTCTTGATGTGATCGTCATCATCATCACGTGTTGCATTGACGACGTGTGTGAGAGAGAGCACGGTCTCCTTTGGTGATAGACGGACAGCGAGACGGAGACAGCCAGTTGCGAGTTTAGTGAACAGTGAAGCGATTCATGATAATTATTTTGATAATATTTCAGTTTTCAGCCACGCCTTTTTATTGCAAATTACATTACAATTAAAAACTCATACGCAATAGTAAAATGAAGTCAAATCCCTTCCGACTTAGACGTTATTGAACTAAGATTTGTTGAATTAAATTGTAAGTTAAACTTAGGCGCTTTAAAATGGAAACAGATCAACTTGCTCCAAAATTTATTCACTTTTTGTTTTCATCCAAACCCAAATTCGACTGTTATTTTGCATTCGGGAAAGAAGGCCAGGAAAAACCAGTAAGTGTTCTTTACTTTATTTACCTATCTCCGCTCCACCAGTAGCCTACTTTTGGGGTTTTTTCTCTTAGGAATTAGGCCCTAGGCCTAGGCCTAGAATCAGAATCAGAAATTATTGATTTGTCATTGGACGTTACAACAAATGTATTGACAATTGTCATAATGGCTTCAGTCAGGCTAGACTTTACAAATAACATGTCTGATATGTTAATTTTTTAGGTGTCAGCTCTGTGGATTACCAACAGTAGGCCTAAGCCTATAGAATGTGATTTAACAATAAATACATTTTACAGAATAGTCCTAGACGTAACTTATTAGCCTACTATAGGCCTAGTAGGCTCATTAAGACATTAGGCCAGGCGCACACAAGCGATTTTGGGTTCTATCAACAGTTGCCAATTAATAGCGGGTTTGCGCAATTTACAGAGACTCTGACTGAAGTCTTGCGACAGTTGCGCAGGAGTGTGCACACAGGCGACTGTTCAAGATGAAATTGGACAGTAGCCTACAGTATGGTAAATGACACAACAATAGTAACTTATGTAGCCTACTCTGTTATTTAGATTTCGCGCGGGAAGAAAGAAGAGGATTAAGTTAGAGGGTTGAAATCTTTTGTAACTCCCTCCTCCCACAACGTCTTCTTCAAATTGATATCAGAATAGTCTTTCAATTACTTTAACCCTCCGAGTGTCCATAGTTTAGGCCTTAATGTCCACCTATTTTTGGCCCCTTTGCAAGGTTTTATTAAAACGGATCGGAGAAGCTTAAAACAATGTTAATTCTAATGTTCTATATACCATTTTGTTTGGAAAATCATGGGCTTCAATATTATATATAAAACATAAGGAACATTTAAAAAAAAAAAAAATTTTAGGTAAAAAAATATATAATTTCGAAAATTTTCAAAAAAAAAATAAGTTCGCGCTCAATGAAATTGTATAAATTATAGGCCTATAAATATTTGAAAATAGCCACTTTGTTCTAAATTTAATGAGGATTACAAATATATAATCATATAGCGAGGTAAGTTATCAAATAAATAAGTTATGAGCGAAAAACGGATTTCAGTACATAGCGTTTAGCTAAGAATGCATAGCCTAACCATAGCTAGGAATCTGGCTGATAATTTACATCAATATCACTACCTACTTCTTCAGGATCATCAACCAGCACTTCAAAACCACTTAAATCTTCTTATAATGCACCACGTATATCACTACTTTTGATTTTTAACACTAAAACAATGATAAACGTAATAAAACACATCAGTCATCGGTCCGGGGGAACCTAGCTGTTTACAAATACACGCACGTCAGCTGTCTGCTACAATATTTTCGGAACTAAAATGAATAGCGCTTAGAGACAGACCTCTGGAGAAAGCTTAGAATATTACGGAAAGAACGATACCTAACTCGATCCAGTTCAATCCGATTCAGTCAGTCATAGAGCCTTCGCCGTAAACGATGTTTGTGCGTCTTAAACTCGACGCGTGACCCTACACAAAGTGTGTTGTGCGTCTTAAACTCGACGCGTGACACTCGGAGGGTTAAATAAAAAGGCAGCCTCTTGTCAACTTTAAACTAATTGTTAAACTTAAAGCAAATTTATAAAATATTTGAACTGGCAAACTATTTTCTATACTACAAGTTAAGAATTTATAGTTTGTTGTAGGCATAACTGTATTTATTAACATTCCAAATACCACATAAGCAGAAAGGCCTATCTTGCAAATTCCTGCACTGGACAGAACCACAGAGCATAGGATAAATATAGAGGCGGCACTTGCCGTCTGGAGTGAAGCAGGCTTCTCGTACCAAGGTGGCAGCCGGCCCACCCTGTCTGCATTTACATTTAAACCATTATATTGTTACCATGGAAACCACCAATCAATACCTATTTACTTTTAAAACTCTCACCTCAGAACTTTGAAAGCCCGCGGGGCAGAGTCATAGGTCAATATCGAAGGGAGGAGTTCTATATGCAGGTACCCTCGGAGCAGTAGCTTCATCTAATTCATTAAGTAGTATAGAATAACACAGTGGTAATGACGCCGTGTTTTCAAAGTTCTGAGCCCGACTCTCTTACCAAGATGGCGGAAATGGGTTTTACTACTGATATAGCTGTAGTTATGGGAGTGGCGACTCTATATTTATTCTATGCTTTGTGGACAGAACTCACAATAAAATTGGCTTCAGTTGTTACATAAGGATGATAAATCTGTTGTAAGTGGGGGTATGTTTTATCTATAAATAAAGAACCATTGACTTTTGGATACCTACTAAAGACTGATTGTATCATTTGCAACCTATAATTCAAAAATTCAGTAAAAATAAGCATAAAATAGCACAAGGCCTATAAGGATTATTACATTTTTTTTATTGTACAGTAGACTTTCTTTAATTTGGCTTCGGTTGGATCGGCTGCCAGGTGGTCCGGCCCGGTCTCAGGGGGACACGTCATATCGTCACGGGCGAAGGACCTTCGACAGGATTCAACTCGAATGTTTAGTTTCCGGCTATAGAAGTAAACAATTCATGTCAGTTTAGTTGACGAGTGCTTCTATGGTTTAATTGTTGCATATTACTTATGTAAAACTATGTTACTTAAGCTCAAAAATACCTAGAACATTTTATAAATAGTTTTCTTCAGTCTAATATGTTGAAATGCAGTGTATCATTAATTAAATATTTCGGACCATTTTTGTATGCGGTAGGTTCCTCCAATATTGTTTTTGAAACACCACAGTTTATTTGACAAAAATAAATTTTAAGCGAAACAAAGAAATAGCCATCGTTATCTTCACGGTCAAGCTATCCGCTTGCACTGACAATCATCTGCTTTTTACACAATATCTGTATGCTGTGCGCTTGCTATCTCACAACAGTTTGTGGTTGGGAGATTAGTAACCATGGCAACTTGTTGAATGTGTGGATGAAGAGAAACCAAAGAATGAATAGAAGAACAAAAAAGAAATAATAAGCGGTGTTTTAAGTCATCCATTGTTATCTTTATCCTATTTTACGACTGTCGTTATTATCTTTAAGACCAAGTACTATGATTTTATGCTGTTTGATGAGTTATCTGATGTTTTTATCGACATTCTTATGTTCTGAAACAACATGTAGTAGTAGCCTATGCTGACTACGGTAGCAGTAGCTTGCAGTACTAGACCTTATTGTTCTGTTCTTTACGTGATTAATTGCTGTACGTACATTGTTGTGTAATTTTTGTTTTGCTTGAGTAAGATTGATTTTAAACGTTACAGTTTTTATTACTGAACCAAGTATAATGACTTAAGATATATGATTGGGCAATACTATTATTTGTATTTGGATTATGTAAAATGCAAGTTAATTATCATATTAACGTCCATCAGTGGCGGCTCTAGGACCTGGTCAAGGGGGGGACTCCGGGGGGTTTGGGGGGTGTGGAACACCCCCCAAGAGAAGAGGGGGGTCCGGGGGTCCTCCCCCGGAGAAAATTTGACATTTTTAAAGCCGTTTGGTGACTTTCTAAAGCAATTTTTAACGCCTAAAACTGTGTCCAATAATAGCCCAAAAACTCCCATTTCACCTGTTGTTTGTCATGAGCAAGTATAGCCTACATAAGTAGGCCTAGAGTAGAGTAAAGTATATTTTTTAAATAGTTTTTACCAATTTATTTAATAGATCAGATTTATTATCCTAACAGAACTAGGCCTATATTAAATATGAATAGATATTGCAAAGCATAACAATTAATCCTCTATTGTGGTTTCTATTTCATAATTTAACTTGCAATTTTTAAACCTAGTTTTAATTTTTACTGGTCAATTTCGGAATTTTGGTGGAGGATTTTGACCCTCTAAACTCTAAAATCAATTGGCATGTATAAACAAGAGAAATTGGCTCCCTCTTGTTTTGAAGGTTTTTTGCCGCTGCGCGTGCGCAAGTCTGCAGTTGCGTCATTAGTAGTGGTGTGTTTACGTTGTTCTCAGAATGGCGCGCATTTTACCCCGCACTACACGTATATCTGTAGCTCTGGCGCTACCCGCCCGTCCATACAACCTTCAACCTTCTCCCCCCATACCCTCCAAAACGTAACTACCCTGCGGGCTGTGAACAATCTTAATAATTGGTGACTCATATTATTAAAACTAACACTAACTACTAACATTCTAAATACATAGGCCTACCTTAATTTAATTGTTTGAAACAGAAGTTCATCCGTCGGTCCTTCTGCTCCGAGAAATGTTGGATGACAAGCTCGTTGAAATTGTGTGTTTTTAAAAGTCCCTTCTCAATTGAGCACATTGCTAGTGCATTCAGCCGGTCTTCTCTCATGGTGTTTCTTGTAAATGTTTTTATGCGTTTAAGCGTTGAAAAACATCTCTCACTTTCAGCATTGGACATGGGAATTGTGCAAATAATTTTTAGAAGCTTAACAGACTCAGCAAGGACGCCAGTTAAATTGTTTTCATAAATGAAGTTTAATAACATCAGCGATCCTTTGGCACTTTTAAAGTCATCCCTGCTATAAATTACAGATAGCTCTTGTCTTAGCTCCAATTTATTAAGACCAAATATATTTACAGCAGCTTCCAGCTCATTTTCGGGAAATGTATCTTTATATTTGGAAAATAATGTAGGCTCAAAAAGAACACCGACTGACAGATGGTCTAGGAAGCTAAAACGGTCGTTAATTCCGGTAGTTATGACATCGCACACTTCCTTAGCAACAATGTCTTTTCTATCACTAAAGCGAGCGCGCTTTGTTTTGGGTTCGAGTTCGGTTTGTGATGACTCATCATGTAGTGATTCATTGTCTCGACTACATCCAGCTGCACTTGCAGTGTGTGTATCAGGATTGGGAGAATTCCTTATCTCTGAGATAGCCTTTTTAAAATCGTCTACGTATTTCCGTGCTTTTATGCAATCAATACTGCGATGCTGGATTTCATTGTAGAGAATATCTACATGAGGCATAATTTTGTTAAAAAATCTAAGCCAGTAAATAAAGTCCTCACTTTGGAGGATGTGTTGTAGGCCAATAGCTTGGTTTATGGTTTTGTAGTCATTACTGTTGTCGTCAACAATTTTCCCAAGACATTCATCAATTTCGTGGTTGTAATTTTGTATTGTAGAAACGATCCTTGATTTGTAGTTCCATCTAGTTGCTGGATTTTTCGGCATGCGTTTTTTAACGATGTCGTCAAGAACTTTGGTTCGTTTTGTTGACTGAGAAAAAAAAGCTGAAAATCCTTCAATATTGCTGAAAAATATCTTAATCTGTTTGTTTTGAGTAGAACACCTCTCTACAATTAAATTTAATTGATGTGCATAACAATGAACGTAGTGGGCGTTTTTATAAACTTTTTTCACCCTAGCCTGTACGCCAGTATGTTGCCCACTCATCGTAGCAGTGCCGTCATAGCTCTGGGCTATTACTTTGTCGGGGGTTTTATCCAGTCCTAGCTTCTGCAATTCACAAAATATAGCCTCACTAATTCCCTCAGCATTCAAACTCTTGGGGTTGACATAAGTGATAAATCTCTCTTTAATTTGACCACTCAATTCATACCTAACAATAAAAACCAATTGAGATAGTGTAGCTACGTCTGTGGTTTCATCTGCTTGAATTGCTACATAACTGCTTTGGCGAATTTCCTCGGAAATCAGTCGATGGCAAACTGAATAAATCGAGTCAAGCAAATCGTTTTGAATTGTTTTAGAAAGGCCAACAAATACTCGATTGTTTGCCTTTTCAATGTGCTGTTTCAGTGTAACATCTATGTCAGCCATTAGATTAATCAAACCTCGAAAAATTCCAGGATTGTCTGATGAATCACGTTCATTGTGACCCCTTAGAGCTAATTCAAATATACCACAAAATTTAACTGCATCGATAAGTTTGTTTAAAATATATCTGTTATTAGCAACTTCTTCATTGTGTTTTTGAATATTTAACCTGTAGGCATTGTCCAGCTGGCTTGCTATATTAACTTTACCTAAAACTGCATATTCGATACTAGCATTTATGTGTTTCTCACTAATTTTATGTTTTTTTACTTTTTCCGCCAAGTGTTTTAAATCTGTCACACCATTAACAGTCCAAACAGAGTCACTAGCATTCATAACCAAACAGTAATAACAGAAGAAAGCATTCTTTTCGTTACAGCCACACAACCACTCAGCATTGTTGTACATAGATTTGTTAAAATTTCTAGAAAATCCTTTTCTACTCTTGCAAGATTTTTGAGATTGCGTTATAACTAAATCAGGTTTTGGCGGGCCTAGCAGCTTTAACTCAACTCTCTGTTCAAAACTTACCACCTCGCAACTGGCATACTTCGTTGAAATGTTTTTCACCGAATTCATTGTTCATTAATTCGCACTACACACTACTACACTACACTTAAAACGAAAAGAAACAGAGGTACAGGTACAACTGTATATTAATTAATTAATTAACTACTATAGTATACCGGCGGCACGGCACGATAACATAACCTCACAAAACTAAAATTTGACTGATCTCTACATAATTGCGTTTGACAGATCGAGATCGCTCGCTGCACCCAGCGCTTGTTGTGGCAATAGTTTGAACTACTGTTTGGACGGAGTCCCAAACGCCCTATATCTGTTGCATTAGAGCCTGATGCAGCGCTGTGATTGGTCGAATATTTCCATGCAGTTTATATGGGAGTTTGGACTCATACCTACTGCGTCCCGGCGTACTACCTGTTGCAATAACATGTGGCGTCCTCTACTACCCGTCCCAAGAACATTGACCCTACTGACGTTTATGTACATTGAATGTAGGATTGTAAATTATTTTTAAGTATGTTATTATTTTTTTTTTTTACTATTTTGTTGAAAAAGGGAGGACTCCGTCCCAGAGTCCTTATGGACCAGCCGCCACTGACGTCCATTTTATACAGTATTAGGTGTTTTATGGGTATGTAATGTATGCTTATGTCATGTTGGATTTACCGTGGTTTTCAGTTATCCATGGTCTCCCCCCCCCCCCCATTACCCCGGATAATTGAGGTTCTACTACGTCCGGTTAGTCCGGCCGTATTGTAGTCCCGAGGTGGCCGAACTAGAGGGAGTCTACTGTAATACCATGGATACTATAGAACTTCTTTAATCTGTGGCAATACATATTAAAGACATGTAGAAATAATTAACATTAATTAATTAAGGTACTGTAAATAAGTGAGAATGCAACAACTTTGATCGCTTTACTTTATTCTATAACATATTCCCTGATCGCAGCAACATCCGCGATGATTTCTCGAGATTTTGGATATCTGTGCTGGTGCTCTTATACAAAAATCACCCCAAAATATGTGGGGATTTCCTACAATCGTTTCAACAAATCGTGATGATTCCCCGCGATCACAGCAGTTCCGTAATCATTACTTACGTTCACAGCCAAATCCACAAAAATTTCTCTTCATCACGGCAACACATGTAATAATGTCTTCTGGTTGCGACAACATTCGTTTATCTTCCATGCGACCATGTGAACCCCTATATTTTACACAACTGTGGCAATCGGGACAACACCTTTGATGATTTCACACGATCGCGACAAAACCCACGATCGTCTCCAGCGATTTGTTGAAATCCTGTGACTATTTTTTTGGGATCTTGTCGTAATGATTCTCCGTGATAGCGGAAACACCATAATTGCAGTAATGTTGTAAGTGTCTTACACGATCGCGGCAACATCCACCACTATCTCAATACTCGTGACAATCTTCGTAATAGTTTCCTACAATCGTAATTTTCAACTAGGTATGCAAAACGAAAGAGGCCATTCGGTGAGCACCTAATTATTTTTTTAAGTAAAAAAAAATACTGTGCGATGGAGGCCCCGGGCGCTCGCCCTGTCCGCCCATATGTAAGTTCGACCCTGCTGCCGGTGCAGGTGGGCCTCTCCCTCCCACCTTATATTTAAACTTTGCTTGATCTGTGAAACATGATCTCAATTAAGTGGGCCTAACTTAGTTGGTGTCGAACTTAGTTTATGTAAAAATGAAACAAATAAGCTTAACACAGATTTTACCAAAAACATTTCCTACCACAACAGAATTTGTCAGGATAGTTCTTTTCAAAATTACCGATTAGCGGAACTTCTGTGGTTGTCTTGCTAGAGAGCCTAAGGCTCATTAATGATGAATCTGCAACAATCTAGTCTAGGCACAGAGCTGGCACTCGGATATGGTATAGCTTAAATCTCAGGTTAAAAGCTTATGCCAACCTGAGAAAAAGAAAATGACGTTAAAGTATGTTATAATCTGTTGACGATAAACAAGGCTCGAAGTTACTTGTTTTGACTATTTATTCTAATACGTAGGTATAATAGAAGTAATTTTGGTATGTATATTATAGTTCGTCAAACTATATTTTTTTTTTACCCTCAAGTCACTGAAACTATTCAGGAATACAATGATAATTTTAAAATTATTTACTATCATAAATGTTAATCTTAAACAGGTCGTAATTAATTGCACATTAGGTTACCGATTTCCAATTTATCTTTTTAAGGAAAGAATTGGAGCTGTCAAGTTAATGTTGATGGCTCACAGTGAAGTTTTCAGACTGCAGTTAGAAGACAGTGGATTGGCAGAGAAGAAAGATGTTCCTGTCATAGACATCCATCCTGACACGTTCAAAGGAATGTTGAAGTGAGTTTATTGTGTTATTGATATAAGGGGATGGCTTGCTGACAAAGATTTTAATTTACTGTACACAAAGTCAATTCTTGAAAAATATGACAGGACAGACAAAAATAAATTTAAAATTACATTAATTTTTAACCTGGTTCACAGGGCCAGATTTAGCATTTTTGCGCCCCTAGGCCCAAATAATTTTGGCACTTTCCTGTTAAAGGGAACATTCATTATTATCGATGATTTTTTCGATATATCGATATTTTTGTTTACCGATCCATTACATATTGACAACTGATCTTGTTTAGGTTAAAATAGTCTATTATATGGATTAAGAATTGAAACTGTTCTAAGCTAACCTAACATAACCAACCAAACTTGCTGTACTATTTAAAAATTCCTTTTGATAACAGAAAAGGCAAGTTAAACATGGAATGTTACACGGCAAGTTTTTGAACAGTTTCATTTCATTATTGTTTGTTGATACTGAACAATATTTATCGTAGTTGTCAGCTGATATGTTTCAATTTGTTAATATCGATATATCGAGACAAAAATCATCGATAATAATGAATGTTCCCTTTAACAGGAAAGTACCATAATTTTCCGCCCCCTAGTCTGGTCACAGTTACTTTCCTTCAAACCTTTATTAAAAACTATATCATGCCCATAGGCCGAAGTTAATTATTTATGTATGGCTAAAATCTCGAGAACTGTTGGTCGGAGTTAAAAGTGACCATATACTAAATGAAAAATTATTAAATTTCCAACAAAAATGATTTTTACTCTTTTATTTTATTCTCTATGGTAATCAATTTATAGGGCTTTAAAATAATGTGTTTTTTTCTCTAACTGTAGGGGTGCGAACAATGGTGCTTGAGCTTAAGTACAGACAGTTTGAGAAAAACGCCTTATTTTAGCGCCCTATAACTCGGTAACCATTAGGAATGAAATGAAAGTGTAAAGATAATTTTTGTTGGAAATTTAATAATCTTTCATTTAGTATAAGGTCAATTTTAGCTCAGACAAATTGTTTTCAAGATTTTAGCAAAAAAAATAAAATAGAGGGCCCTGTTTTCGCTGATTGGCACTAGAGCTCGCATCATATTTATGGGGACTTTTGATATAATCTTCCCTAGGTATCTAGAATAAGTGTGCAAGGTTTAAAACTTTTGGATTTTTTCGGAGGTTGGGTCATTAATGAACCAACTGGTTCATATGTAACCAACTGGTTATATGTATTGACTGAACTATAAGTAACCAAAAATTTTTTAAATATTTTAATTTCCTATCGTTATTATGGACTAGTACACTGCTATATTTATGAACTGCTAATCTAAGAAGTTTAAGTAACACAATTTTAACCTGTTTCAGATATGTTTATGGCTATGACACTACTGCTACAATGGCTTTTGATGAGGCAGATGATTTACTGTATGTTGCGGAGAAGTATTTAATGAAACCTTTGAAAGACAGCCTCGCTGCTAGACTGATGACCCTTTTGAACAAAGACAACATTTGTTCCTTGATGAACAACCCTGCCTGTTACACTCATCTGGAGTTGGACTCGGCCATTACCAAGGTTAGTTTGAGTGTTTTTTGTAGATAGAAAATAGCCTTGAAGTAGGTATACACCTGAAACAGAAAAACACGTGTCGCATTAGGCGCAACGGAGCTTTTTGTTCATTTGCAGGTTATGGCAACTTCTCCCTTACCTTACCTTACCCTCTGGCCTTAGCCTACCGGTACAGCCCACGATGAGCCTTGGCCTCCATCACAATATGTCTCCAATCTTTACTATTTCTTGCTCTCTGTCTCCAATTCCCAATTCTCAGAATCCTTAAATCCTCCTCAACATCCTGCAGGCATCTTTTCCTTGGACGGCCTCTCTTTCTTGTTCCGTACATTTGACCATCTATGCAACCTCTCCCACATGTTGAGTTATTGACAGCACCCCACATTTAATTGCTTAAAAGTAGGAATATGTCGATTCTCGGACATTGGTGTTGGTAAACGGACATTGAGAACCTATCGTAAACTCAATATCGATACCTCAGATGTCTAAGAAGATCAGTGACCAAAAAATCACGCTTTTTCCGCAATTGTGGATGACGTTCTCATGGCCGCAGAAGACGATGATGATGTCTACTCGACCGCTGGAGATGTGCGGGTTTTGCTGACGATGACGTCATCGTGATCACGTTATTACCTCGGTCTGACCAAAAATCTCTGTCATTCCTCTCTTTATCCTGAAATTTCACTTTGATAATATTTTCCAAAATTTGATTTAATCTTTGATGAGGTAATATATATAGTGTGTTTAGAAGGGCTTGGTCCTACATGTGAATGGGTTAGTTATAATTTTCTATTGCTGCTTTACAAAACATTACTTAAAAACACCCCATCACTCCAAAATTACCGTGTGTAAGTAAATAAAGACAGGGGTTGATGTAGTATAACCAATCTATATTGACAGTTGGGTAAAATTTGAAAATAGTGGTATCGGAATCACAAATTGATAAGTTTTGGCATTGATAGGTACATTACTATTTACAAACTTATTTGTCACAATGTTCTATGCAGTGAGATAAACAAGAAAAAACCACACGTTAAAACCAAACTAAAGTACATAACCGCTCTAACCACTCGTTAATGCAGGAGGGATATCTCCTTCAGCTTCTAATGCAGACCAGATATGCCAACATTGTCACAGAAGTTTTTAATCAGAGCTAAAGCAGTTCATTTTATTTTATCAACCACTTAAAAAAATAGGAACAACAATGGGATATTGATCTTGTTTGTACAATGTCTTAAATATAATTTTTTAACTAATGTACTGTTTGTATATTAATAGATTCTGAAATTCGAGACGGATCAAGTGTTAGCAAGCCCAGAGTTTTTGTCAATGAATTCTGACAGTTTCCTCAAGATTTTGGAACAGGACGAACTTGCAGTTCCCGAAATAGAATTGTGGAGAGCAGCAATTAAATGGGGAAAACACAGAGGTAAGAATTTAGATCTAAAAATTAGTTTACTTTTTGCACTTGTAAGTTGAATTTGAGTGCAAGGTGAGTTTAGAATGGAGGATAATTATCTGGGTAGCTTTATTGAAACGATTTATCAAGAAGTGAATTTGTTTCCATTTCTTACTATTTTATACAATTTTGAAGATTTGTACAGTACATAAAACAATGGCTGATCTTAACCTTCTGTTTGGTTTGCACATAAGCCAAGTATTACTGTAAAAATGTACAGTGTTAAAAAAAGATGTGGACATAATTAATGTAGTGATATCTAAACATTTTTATCTTTGGATTGTATCAACTGATCTTAATGAAAATTGGTGTATGTGGTTTAAATTACAAAGAAATGATCGATTTTAAGAAAACATCTGAAGAAATTTTTTTTAAGCTTTTAACATTTTCTATCTTATGACACTATGTTCAAAGATCAAATAACTTAAATATCGTGGTTTTTAGTTACAATCAGGCAAACCTGACTAGTTTAGCCTAATTTCTATACCATTTTATCAACATTTATGTCCCCATAAACACGTAGCTTGTGTATGTTCAGTTCAGGGTTTCTAGTAGTCGGGAAAACGGGAATTAGTATTAAATTACAAAATGGTCTTGAAAAGTCGGAATTTAGTCTTTATGTTGATATCAAAGTCGGGTATATTCATGATTATGCCGCTTTCGCGCAAGACGACAATCACGTTTCCGTGACTGAGGGAAACAATGATGGTGACTACACGGCCGCAGAAGATCTTTGTTCATGATTAAGCTGCAATCGAGCTAGACGACAATTATATTTATTATGTAGGTTTTTCGTGACCGCAGGAAATGATCATGATTTTTCCACGTTAGAGCAAGCCGATGAAGATGTCTGCACGGCCACGGGGGATATTCATAATTTTCCCGAGGTCGGGCTAGGCCACGAACACGTTTTTGTTGACCTATGTACATGCCACAGAAGATTTTCTTCATGATTTTGCCGCGATCGCAGAAGACGATAATAATGTTTCCGTGACCATGAAAGACAATGGTGATGATGTCTGCACGGCCGCGGAAGATGTTCATGATTTTGCCACGATCGCGGACAACCATGATGATGGGTCAATGTTGATGTCTACACGGCCACAGGAATTGTTCATAATTTTGGATGATGACGATGACGTTTCCATGACTGCGGGAGACAACGATGATGTTTCAATGAGCGCGGCAGTCAATGATAATGTCTACACGGCCGCGGGAAATAATCATAATTTTGCTGCCATTGCGGACGACGATGATGACGTTTGCGTGACTGTGGCAGTCAAAGAATGATGTCTACACGGCCTAAGAAGATTTTCATGATTTTGCCACAATCGCGGAAGATGACGATCACACGTGACCGCGGAAGATGACGATCACACTTACGTGACCGCGGAAGACGACTATGACGTTCTCTTGACCACGGGAGACGACGATCTACAAGGCTGCGGGAAATGTTAATTTTTTTCTGTGATTGCGGACGATGACAATGACGTTTCTGTGACCGCGGCAGTCAATGATAATGTCTACACGGCCTCAGAAGATTTCCATAATTTTGCCGCGATCGCCGAAGATAATAATGTTTCCGTGACCGTGAAAGACAATGATGATGTTGTCTACACGGCTGCGGAAGATTTTCATGATATTGCCACGAACACGTACACCAATGATGACGTATCCTTGACTGCGGGAGTCAATGATGATGTCTACACGGACACGGAAATTATACATAATTTTGTGGCAAATGGGGATGACGACAATGACGTTTCCTTGACTGCGGCAGTCAATGATGATGTCTACATGGCCTCGGAAGATTTTTATGATTTTGCCGCGATCGTGGAAGACGACGATAACGCTTCCGTGACCGCAGATGGTGACGATGATGTTTCCGTGACCGCGGGAGTCAATGATGATGTCTACACGGCGGTGGAAGATTTTCATGATCCTAAAAACCCAAATTGGTTTGTTACATTTTTTTATTGCTGTATTTTTTTCTTTGAATACTTAAAAACACCCCACTATCTTAATAATACTTGATGACATAAAGCAAGGCAACACTATCTCGTCTTGCAGCATAAAGACAGGGGTTGGTGTAGTATAACCAAATTATATTGAAAATTTGGTTAAACAATAAAAATTTGTATATTTATGAAGAATCGAGAATCAATACATTTTGGTAACGACACATCACTATTTTTTGATAAAACTAGTCTTGAAAATTCTGGAATTAGTCTTGAAACTTAAAATGGAAATAAACTAGACCCTGTCAGTTGTTCTGTCATTATGTAAAGCGCATCTTCTAGTTTTGCACTTTGTGGTCTGTACACTCCCACTACCTGTAGGTTTTGCTTCTTGAGTTTGATTTTGTAAAGTGTAAGGTGGTATCGTTGACTAGGTCTATACACTTCTCAATTGACTATTACTCTCTCTACTGTAGGCTACTTATAATCAGTGTGCGTCTGTGCGATTCAGCCGCAAATCTCACTTCAACACTTATCACAATTGCTGTTTTATTGTAAAATTATTGAATTTAAAATGCACATCGTATAGGCCTATGATGGGATAAAAACATATTTGGTCACGCAAATTTCTTTACAAGATGATTTTTCACATTAAAACTGCAAGAAAATTTTTCTTTTTATGTGTAAATTAGCTGTTCTGAACTGTACACAGTTTTAACTGACTACTCAATTCCCGTATCTAGGACGGGCTAACACCTCGTCATATTTTAATATGGAACATGTTTTTTCCCAGCTGAGTCGGAAGATGATCCGAAGCTGGTCCGCCAACAACTCTCAGGGTTGACTCAACAGTTGAGACCTTACTCACTGAGTCCGGAAGACAAATTGGAAGTGATTGGTTCTGGGATTTTAGACACAGAAGAAGCCAACAACTTGTGTCATTGTCATTTTAAAAAGGAAACCCTTCTAACTCTTGGTCAGTTTTCAAATGAGACTAAATCAAGGACAATGGCAAAAACAAGTACTGTCCTTGATCAACTAGAAATTATTATGCCAGAACTGGAATATAGCTACAATTGGGTTTACAACTTTACTCTGACTACCAAAAGCCATGCAATTGAGCTGTTACCACTAGAGTGTGAATCATATGATCTTAGACCAGGATACCCTGTAGATAAGACATATAAAGTGAGCTGTTCAGCAACAATAATAACTGAGTGGACCAACTTGGATGTGTATGAACCTGCAATAAACTTGCATTTCAGTAAGCATGTCAAGTTTGGAGAGAAGTTAGAGATTCCTCTAGTTGTTGATGGGAGAAACATAACCTTGAAGCCAAACACCCAGTACTATGTTGTGATGCAGGTGAAAGGGTACCACAAGATGAGATACAGTAAGACAAGGCCCAACATGAAAAATGATCACTTGATTCTAAGAATATCCAAGAATTGTGATCACTACTACTTTCCCTCAGACAAGTTGATGTACAGAGCAAAAACAGTGGAATAATGTCATTCTATAAACAATAATTTAGGAGTTTTGTGATTTTAATTCCATTCAAGTGTGTGTGCAGAAAATTCATATCTTTTTATCGTTGTTTATGATTTTCATTTAACTCTGATCATTTAGGAATAATATGCATTTTGTAAAATTATTCTAATCCAAATTTAAATACATGCAAATTCAGTCAAAAGTATGTTTGGTTATGAGCATACAGTTTGTGTAGTAAAGGGCAAATATCCAATTTTCAACAGATTTTTTAGTTTTATCCATACTGATGTAGAAGTGGGATGCAAAGAGTCTTGTCTTTAAGTTAATTTAAATAAATTCTTGTTATTTGTTGTGTGTGAATGTATATGTGTACCCTAAAATAACACATTTTAAAATAAAAAAAGATCAAAAACTTTAACTAAGAATTGATTATTTTAACCTGTTTCAGCCTCGAAGAATCGTTATAACAAAATTCAATATGTGATTCAATGTAATGTATGTTGGATTTTCAATTTTATCTGATAACTATTTGATTTGATTAAATCAATCATTTAATCAATACAATCTTTAATCATCATGTTGCAAATGTCTACTGTACATTTTAATACAGTAACGTCAAGTAGGTGTACAGTATTTGTTGAAATGAGTAACATACAGTACAGTAATATAGTAGTAACATTAAATATGAATTTATTTCCTTACTAAATGGAGCATCAAGTAAAACAATCCTTTAAGTAGTGAACTTGTTTTAATCTTAAAATCCATAATCTTTTGCTAAATCTACCAGCTTTTGTTTCTCCTTAATGGATTTCGACAGACGATTGTCATTGGAAAGAAAATGACTTGGTTAATCATATGACTAATGTAGCTTGCTTACTGAGCGTGAAATTGATATCAACACTAAAATATTACATAGTTCACAATAATGACTTATAATGTCTATAGGGTTCCTACGCTCTAACAGAAATGATAGATTTCCTTTGCTTTATTGCATTTTTCTTGTGGCAGGCCGTGTTCTGTAATTAACTCATTGGGGAAGGAATTAATGTGCTACCCTCAGGACCCTCTGTCAAAAATTAAATTTACCAAATGTGTAGACTTTTACTTTAATTGTTATTAAAGAAAACCTTTGGTAATAATTCTTTTGCCATTTTCTTCACAGTAAAATTGTCTACAAAAAAGTGGTAATATGATAGTCAGTTAAAAAAAATATAAAGATTATAAAATAAATTATTTTAAAAACCTATTATTTACAGATTCCAAGATAAATCCTACCAAATGACACTACTGTTATAAAGTTCAATCACTCAATCAATTCCCTATGTAGAAAAATCACAAGTTGTTTACTCTTATAAGTACTGTAATAACATAGAAAAAATAATGTTTGTTTTACCTTACCCCAGCTGATTTTGGGTGATATCTGGTTTCCATGGCAACACAATCTTGTTTGTTATTCGCAAAAATAAATGAGTAAGTATGCAAAACAAGAAGCAAGATATTTATAAACTTTAAAAAAGTAAGAAGAAACAAAAAAATAAAAATTAATAATAATTAAACTAGTGGCACTGTGTAGCCATGACACAAGCGGCAGTCGTAAGTCAGCCGCCGGGACTGCAGCGGCCGTACAAGTAACGCTTGTAAATCGATGCCAGTAGGTTAATATCATCTGGTTTTTTCTCATGTAAGAAATGTCTATCAACTTTTGAAGCCAAGTTGTTAATGTTTTGGTGCGCTATTGTGATTTTGTTTTGATTTCATTGTATAAGTTTTGATCGGGGTTTGTGTTTTGGTTGGTGTCATTCAGGGCGAAAGTTGATTCTATGTTTTATGGTATGTTTGTTTCTTCCCCCCTAAAAAATTGTTTAGGGTCTTGTTTGAATCTTGCACTGTTACCTGGTTATGTTGTTGACATTGTGGTAGCTTATAGTGTGAGATCCCATTTGTGTCCTCTATGTGCTGGCTCTAAAAGGTTTCAAGTGATTCATCTGGTTGCAGTGTTTTAGCGGCACAGGGAGGTCCTTTTTGTACCTTAAATGTCTGTTTGTTAACAGGAAGGGTGTCACAGATGGGGGATTCTTGGTGTGCACATTGAGTGGGTTTAGGACGAGGAGTAGAATTTAATATGCCCTGGAGGGTAGTAAATTTTGCTTTTGTATTGTTTCTGTCCATTTCTTTGCTTTTCTTCATCTGGAGTGACACACTAAAAATATTCCTATTCATTACCCTTAGCTTTTTCCTTATTGTGCCGTTTGCTTTGGTTTTTAGGCTTTCACAAGATGGTGTGGGTAGTGTATCACTAGGGGAGATTGTATTCTTGGCATTCTCTTGCTGTAGTATTTTACATTCAATTGCTGCCAAAGTGTGTTCTGTTTGTTCTTGTGGGGTCTTCAGCTTAGTTAGCTCAAGTATCAGGGGCAATGAGCTGTTTTGTCTAGGGAGCTCAGAGCTGAAGGTTTGAGATTCTAAATAATTAAATGTTAAGGTGTTTTTTGCTTGGTAATTTTCTGAAATTGTATTTCTTGTTTGGTTCTTGATAGTTTTTTGTAGGTTCATGACTACCTTTTTAGATTAAAAATTACTTGATCTTTATCCTTGTATTGATCTTCAACATTGTTGTTAGTTTAACTCTGAGTTGTCTCTCTTTGAATAATATTAGGATAAACTTTTGTCATTGTTCTCTTAAGCAGTACAATATATTACTGTAAATAGTGCAATAGGATTGGGATTGGTCATGCTTGTTTTAGACTGATTTTATTAAATTCTACTTAATCGTGAAGGAGATCGATATGACAAGAACTTAATAGGTTTTCTTGTAACTTGTAACTATCACATTTTAATATGGAAAATGTTTTTCCCCAGCTGAGTCGGAAGATGGACAGCTGGTCCGCCAACAACTCTCAGGGTTGACTCAACAGTTGAGACCTTACTCACTGAGTGGAGACGACAAATTGGAAGTGATTGGTTCTGGGATTTTAGACATAGAAGAAGTCTACAATTTGTGTCATTGTCATTCTAAAAAGGAAACTCTTCTAACTTTTAGCCAGTTCTCAAATGAGACTAAACCAAGGACAATGGCAAAAACAAAGACAGTCTTTGATCAACTAGAAATTATTATGCCAGATAAGGAATGGGACAGCTGTTTCACTTACAACTTTACTCTGACTACCAAAAGCCGAGAAATTGAGCTGTTACCACTAGAGTGTGAATCATGGGATCTTACACCAGAAGACTCTGTGGATGAGACATGTAAAGTGAGCTGTTCAGCAATAATAATAACTGATTGGACCAACTCGGATGTGCATGAACCTGTGATAAACTTGCATTACAGTAAGCATGTCAAGTATGGAGAGAAGTTTGAGATTCCTCTAGTTGTTGATGGGAGAAACATAACCTTGAAGCCAAACACCGAGTACTCTGTCAAGATGGAGGTGAAAGGAGGCCATAAGAGGAGACACAGTAAAAGAGAGCTCAACATTGAAAATGATCACTTGATTCTAAGCATATCCAAGACAGGTTTTGGGTACTGCTTTCCCTCAGACAAGTTGATGTACAGAGCAACAGCAGGGGAATAATGGCAATCTAGAAAACATTAGTTAAGGACTTTTTGAGATTTAAATTCCCTTAAAGTGTGTCTGCAGAAAATCCAAATCTTTTTATAGTTTTTTATGATTTTCACTTAACTCTGATCATTTAGGAATAATATGCATTTTGTAAAATTCTTCTCATCCAAATTTAAATATATGGAAATTAAGTTAAAAATATGTTTGTTTATGACCATACAGTTTGTGTAGTAATGGGTAAAAATGCAATTTTCAACAATATTTTGTAGTTTTATCCATGCTGATGTAGAAGTGGATGTAAAGAGTCTTGTCTTTAAGTTAATTTAAATAAATTCTTGTTATTTGTTGTGTGTGTATGTATATATGTAGGCCTACCCTAAAATAACACATTTAAAAATAAAAAAAGATCAAAAACTTCAACTAAGAATTGATTATTTTAACCTGTTTCAGCCTCAAAGAATTTTTATGACAAAATTCAATATGGGATTTAATGTAACGTATGTTGGATTTTCAATTTTATCTTATAACTAATTGATTTGATTAAATCAATCATTTAATCATCATGTTGCTAGTGTCTACTGTAGGCCTACATTTGAATACAGTAACGTCAAGTAGGTGTACAGTATTTGTTGAAAAAAGTAACATACAGTACTACAGTAATATAGTAGTAACATTAAATATGAATTTATTTCCTTATTAGATGGAGCAGCAAGTAAAACAATCCTTTAAGTAGTGAACTTGTTTATCTTAAAATCCTTCATCTTTTGCTAAAAACTAACAGCTTTTGTTTCTCTTTAATGGATTTCGACAGATGTTTGTCGTTGGAAAGAAAATAACTTGGTTAATCATATTACTAGTAGCTTGCTTGCTGAGCGTGAAATTGATTTCAACACTAAAAAAATACATGGTTCACGATAATGACTGTTGTAATGTCTAGAGAGTTCCTACACTATAACAGAAATGACAGATTTCCTTTATATTGATGTTATTTGGTCCAGGATCTCTTCTTGAATATTAAAATGGTATAAAATTACCTGTTTCCGTCTGTGATCCTATATTTGTTGTATAGAGCAACCGGTTTCAAGGTTATAACCTCATCTTCAGGCTCTTGTTGTTGTGTTTATAAAACTCGACGATCTCGCAAGAGTGACAACAAGAGCCTGAAGATGAGGTTATAATCTTGAAACCGGTTGCTCTATACAACAAATATAGGATCACAGACGGAAACAGGTAATTTTATACCATTTTAAGATTTCCTTTGCTTTATTGCATTTTTCTTGTGACAGTCTCGTGTTCTGTAATTAACTCATTGGGGAAGGAATTAATGTGCTGCCCTCAGTGCCCTCTGTCAACAATTAAATTTACCAAATTTGTAGACTTTTACTTTAATTGTTATAAAAGAAAACCTTTGGTTATAAATTAATAATTCTTTTGCCATTTTCTTCATAGTAAAATTGTCTACAAAAAAGTGGTAATTGGATAGCCAGTTAAATAAAATTATAAAGATTATAAAATAATTTATTTTTAAAACTATTATTTACAGATTCCAAGATTAATCCTACCAAATGACACTACTGTCATAAAGTTTAATCACTCAATCAATTCCCTATGTAGAAAAATCACAAGTTGTTTACTCTTATAAGTACTGTAATAACATAGAAAAAATAATGTTTGTTTTACCTTACCCCAGCTGATTTTGGGTGATATCTGGTGTCTATGGCAACACAACCTTCTTTGTTATCCGTAAAAATAATTGAGTAAATATGCAAAACAAGATCAAGATATTTATAAACTTAATAAAATTCAGAAGAAATAAAAAGGGGGAAAAATAATAATAATTAAACTAGTGGCGCTGTGA